AATTTGTCCTCTTTTCAATGGCAGTGGTAAGAAGGTTCCCTCTCTGGGTACAAGAAGATGATGTACCTAGGAATCCATTGTTTAAGCCCATAGTTTAAGCTCCCTCTGGTGTGCTGGAAGTTTCACAATTGCACTTGCCATGATTTTGCCTTCCAGCTACTGGAGCCATTTGTGCACATCTCCCTTTTGGGAAAGGAAAAGGAAAAAGGATACTGATGAAGGGGATAATATCTGGATTTTCAAAATCCTCCGCATTCTCATACTTAATTTGTCTTTCAATAACTTTGTACCAAAGATTTCAGGCACTTCCAAGCAGAGCACAATGGAATGGAACAAAGTCCCACTGAGGTTCAGGCTGCCGCACACCCCCAGGGATCAGAGCCAGACTGGTCCTTATCCCTTGGATCTCCCTTGATTTGTACCTGCTTTACAAATCCAGCTTACAGCTCTGGCTGACGTGTTCTGCCCTCAGCTGCCCGGCAGTGCTTCTGTTGATAGCAGTTGCTCAGGAATTACACCAGCAGAAATACAAGCACAATTCGGCCTGGAGAAGTTTCCTAAGCAATGAGAGAACAAGAAAGGGGAAAATGTCTTCAGAGTAAGGCAAACCCAAAGATTTCAGGCACTTCCAAGCAGAGCACAATGGAATGGAACAAAGTCCCACTGAGGTTCAGGCTGCCGCACACCCCCAGGGATCAGAGCCAGACTGGTCCTTATCCCTTGGATCTCCCTTGATTTGTACCTGCTTTACAAATCCAGCTTACAGCTCTGGCTGACGTGTTCTGCCCTCAGCTGCCCGGCAGTGCTTCTGTTGATAGCAGTTGCTCAGGAATTACACCAGCAGAAATACAAGCACAATTCGGCCTGGAGAAGTTTCCTAAGCAATGAGAGAACAAGAAAGGGGAAAATGTCTTCAGAGTAAGGCAAACACCAGCCATTCTTCCCAGCAATGTCTTTGGATGTTTGGACATCATCCAGATGGCTCCCTGTCTTCTTAGCTGTATTTGTGCTGGGTGGTTTTGTGTGTAATTTTCTCTTTCTAAAACTGGGCTTGGGACGGGTTAGAAGCCTTTCAAAGGCAAGGAACAACTCCACGTGCCTTCAGCTGCTCCGCTTTAGCCGTTCGATTTGTAGAGAGGTGTAACACAATACAGACTGAATGAGGTTAAATTCACACCTGGCTTGACTCCACTGATTTTTAGTGGATTTACTGTAGTGACGCACGTGGCCCATCTGTTCCTCCTGCACTCATCAGCCATACATCCTTCTTACCACCACACTGCTTGGTTATACAAGGGCAGCTGAAGAAGTCAGGTGATTCTAATTAGACCCTCCCCCTTATTTTTACCTCTTTCAGGAAGTGAGGCAAGGCTAAATGGTCATTTTAAAGATGTGCTTGCAAGGGTTTTGCCCTCTGCTTGCTGTGTGCTTTTCAACGAAGCCCTTATTTTTGGCCATTTGTATTATTTATTATAAAACAGTTATAGAGTTGTCACTTTGGAGCAGCTGTACAAAAATCCCACATTTGAATATCTGTGAGTTAGAGGAAAATTCCCTCAAGCCTTTGTTTGCTGTATGTGCACGAAAGACATCTGCAGAAGAGGAACCCCCTGTGGGATTCACCCTCTTAGGGCAAAATTTGGGGCTGAGCAGACCTCTCTTAATTGGGTGCCTTGCAGCAGTTTCTAGCGTCTAATTGGGCATCACGCTGTCTTTCCAAGGAATGACTCAGTCCTGTCCCATTAAATCTCCTCCTTCTGTATCAGTATTATTCTTATTATGACACCTCCCAGGCAAGCTCGCATCTCTGAACATGAAAATAACTCATCTTAATGAGAGTGAAGTGCGCGTTGCCTGGCAACGCAGCATCACAAGGGTCTTCAGATGCTGAGCTGGGAAAGGCACTTAACTTAATGGGGGCTGTTTTCACTGCACTGTTGTGTCTTTGAACCAAGTAGTAGAGGGGGAAATATTTGTGCTGGAGAGAGAGAGAGGGAGGTGTGGGTAGAATTCATCATTAGAGTGGAATGGGTGGGCAGAGAGACAATGTGCCTTGGCTCCCCAGGTTAGAGGGGAGAGTCATTTCGGCTTCGTGACCTAGTTTCTCTTGGGAAAGGGGTAGAGCATTGCCCAGCAAGAAGGATCTTGTGCTCTGTGAGAGCAGCTGCTGCTCCCCCTGTGCTGTGTCTTGCTCGCCAGCTGTCAGAATCCATGAGATCTATCTGGTGAATCAGTGCCAAGCCTGACAAATCAGCTCTGACTGGTGGCATAGGACTGACTTCCCAAAACTAACAGAATCAAAATCTTTGTGTATCAATGAATAGAACAGACCCAGGGACACATTAAGGGCAGGTCAGGGAATTCATTGTACACATCTGTGTGATATCTAATGGTGGCCACACACTACCAAGATATTTCAACACCATTGGCAAGACCACTTCTAAGCTAGCTTTCACCTGGAATTGGGATTCAAAAGATGTTCTCAAACACTTTTTCCAGAAATTTATCCTCTTTTCAATAGCAGTGGTAAGAAAGTTCCCTCTCTGGGTACAAGAAGAAGATGTACCTAGGAATCCATTGTTTAAGCCCATAGTTTAAGCTCCCTCTGGTGTGCTGGAAGTTTCACAATTGCACTTGCCATGATTTTGCCTTCCAGCTACTGGAGCCATTTGTGCACATCTCCCTTTTTGGGAGAAGAAAAGGAAAAAGGATACTGATGAAGGGGCTAATATCTGGATTTTTAAAATCCTCCACATTCCCGTACTTAATTTGTCTTTCAATAACTTTGTACCAAAGATTTCAGGCACTTCCAAGCAGAGCACAACGGAATGGAACAAAGTCCCACTGAGGTTCAGGCTGCCGCACACCCCCAGGGATCAGAGCCAGACTGGTCCTTATCCCTTGGATCTCCCTTGATTTGTACCTGCTTTACAAATCCAGCTTACAGCTCTGGCTGACGTGTTCTGCCCTCAGCTGCCCGGCAGTGCTTCTGTTGATAGCAGTTGCTCAGGAATTACACCAGCAGAAATACAAGCACAATTCGGCCTGGAGAAGTTTCCTAAGCAATGAGAGAACAAGAAAGGGGAAAATGTCTTCAGAGTAAGGCAAACACCAGCCATTCTTCCCAGCAATGTCTTTGGATGTTTGGACATCATCCAGATGGCTCCCTGTCTTCTTAGCTGTATTTGTGCTGGGTGGTTTTGTGTGTAATTTTCTCTTTCTAAAACTGGGCTTGGGACGGGTTAGAAGCCTTTCAAAGGCAAGGAACAACTCCACGTGCCTTCAGCTGCTCCGCTTTAGCCGTTCGATTTGTAGAGAGGTGTAACACAATACAGACTGAATGAGGTTAAATTCACACCTGGCTTGACTCCACTGATTTTTAGTGGATTTACTGTAGTGACGCACGTGGCCCATCTGTTCCTCCTGCACTCATCAGCCATACATCCTTCTTACCACCACACTGCTTGGTTATACAAGGGCAGCTGAAGAAGTCAGGTGATTCTAATTAGACCCTCCCCCTTATTTTTACCTCTTTCAGGAAGTGAGGCAAGGCTAAATGGTCATTTTAAAGATGTGCTTGCAAGGGTTTTGCCCTCTGCTTGCTGTGTGCTTTTCAACGAAGCCCTTATTTTTGGCCATTTGTATTATTTATTATAAAACAGTTATAGAGTTGTCACTTTGGAGCAGCTGTACAAAAATCCCACATTTGAATATCTGTGAGTTAGAGGAAAATTCCCTCAAGCCTTTGTTTGCTGTATGTGCACGAAAGACATCTGCAGAAGAGGAACCCCCTGTGGGATTCACCCTCTTAGGGCAAAATTTGGGGCTGAGCAGACCTCTCTTAATTGGGTGCCTTGCAGCAGTTTCTAGCGTCTAATTGGGCATCACGCTGTCTTTCCAAGGAATGACTCAGTCCTGTCCCATTAAATCTCCTCCTTCTGTATCAGTATTATTCTTATTATGACACCTCCCAGGCAAGCTCGCATCTCTGAACATGAAAATAACTCATCTTAATGAGAGTGAAGTGCGCGTTGCCTGGCAACGCAGCATCACAAGGGTCTTCAGATGCTGAGCTGGGAAAGGCACTTAACTTAATGGGGGCTGTTTTCACTGCACTGTTGTGTCTTTGAACCAAGTAGTAGAGGGGGAAATATTTGTGCTGGAGAGAGAGAGAGGGAGGTGTGGGTAGAATTCATCATTAGAGTGGAATGGGTGGGCAGAGAGACAATGTGCCTTAACTCCCCAGGTTAGAGGGGAGAGTCATTTCGGCTTCGTGACCTAGTTTCTCTTGGGAAAGGGGTAGAGCATTGCCCAGCAAGAAGGATCTTGTGCTCTGTGAGAGCAGCTGCTGCTCCCCCTGTGCTGTGTCTTGCTCGCCAGCTGTCAGAATCCATGAGATCTATCTGGTGAATCAGTGCCAAGCCTGACAAATCAGCTCTGACTGGTGGCATAGCGGAGAGAATTGAGCGAGCACAGATTGGAGATGGCGTATGATGACGGCTAATGAAAGTGGAATTGATAAGTCTTTCCCTGTACAAATCATCATGCCTCCCTTCCTTGTGTGAAAAGGCTGGGGTTTGTTCTGTTCCTGGCCCTTTGCAGAACGGAGAGGTGGCAGCAAGCAGCATTGCTAACTCACTTGGCCAGTGAAAAGCATCTCGATGGCTTTATTTCCTACTGTAGATTGCCCTAAATATTGGGAATTTTTAACCCTCACAATAAGCTACCTGCCTTTCTCCTCATCGGGTACCAGAGGAGGGAAGCACAGCACGTGTGGAACATTTCTCCCAACAATAGGGACAGATGATTGTACTGGAATGAGGATAACTCATGACTGCTCTTTGTGGCTGCAGCCCACTAAGGCACAGGGATGTGCTGTGGCAGACAGCTCTGCCTGAGGATCATGACATAGGTGTTTTTCTCTTCTTGATGCTTTGATGAGGCTTCATCTTGGTCCTGGGAGCGCAGTCATGAGAGTCTCAGTCTCTTTCTGTTTGCAGGACTTCTCCTACGATGACTCGAAGGTGGAGTTTAATGTTGATGCCCCGAATGGAGTGGTGATGGAAGGCTACCTCTTCAAGAGAGCTAGCAATGCTTTCAAAACATGGAATCGGTGAGTAGTAGCTCATATTCCATTTCATATTTGGGCTAAGGCTCTGAACACAGCTAATACTGCCTGCACAGGAATACGCTTCACTTTTAGCAAGATCATAGCAACTGTTACTATCGCTGGAAGGATTTTGAGCTAAGTAGTTAAAGGCTAAATAGTTAAATTGAGGTTGATTTGATAGTTTCTGCATACAGAGATTTTTCTTTTGGGAGCATTTTGCATACCGGTTGAGGGAGGCTACTCTCTACTCAGCACTGGTGAGGCCACATCTGGAGCACTGTGTCCAGTTCTGGTCTTCCCACCACAAGAAAGATATGGACTTACTTGGAGGGGGGTCCAGTGAAGGGCCATGAAGATGATTAAGGGGCTGGAACATCTCTTTTATTAGGCAAGGGTGAGAGAGCTGGAACAGCTCAACCTGGAGAAGAGAAGGTTTGGGGGGAATCTTATCAATGTGTACAAATCCCTGATGGGAGGGAATGAAGAAGAGGGAGCCAGACTTCTCAGCAGTGCCTGGTGCCAGAATGAGAGGCAATGGGCACGTACTAAGAACGTGAAATTTCATCTGAACACAAGAAAACGGCTTTTTTTTTACTGTGAGGATGGTCAGGCAGTGGAGCGGGTTGCCCAGACAGGTTGTGAAGTCTCCAGCTGTGGAGATATTCAAAACCCACCTGGGCACAGTCCTAGGCAACCTGCTGTAGCTGGCCCTGCTTGAGCAGGAGGGTTGGACTGGATGATCTGAAGAGGTGAAGAGGTCCCTTTCAACTGAAGTGATTCTGTGACTCTGCTCAGAACCTGGCAGCTGTAAGTAAGATCAGAACCTGAAGGCATGTTAGCATAACTCTGCATCAGAGCAAGTCCTCACGAGGGACTAATGTAGCCTTATCAAGACACTAACCTGGCTTTGTGGTGCCAAGTCAGTCAGAGCAAAAGAGGAGTAAGCATCTGCTTGCTTGCAATGGTGTTTTAAGACCACATAAATTTCCTACCAGCACGTTATAACTCGTGCTGAGCTTGCAAAACCAATTGCTTTGCAGTTCTTTGATATTGGTGTGTTGGAGACATGTACGTTAATCAGTAAAAGAGGTAGATGGGGGAAATATTTGTGCTGGAGAGAGAGAGAGGGAGGTGTGGGTAGAATTCATCATTAGAGTGGAATGGGTGGGCAGAGAGACAATGTGCCTTGGCTCCCCAGGTTAGAGGGGAGAGTCATTTCGGCTTCGTGACCTAGTTTCTCTTGGGAAAGGGGCAGAGCAGTGCCCAGCAAGAAGGATCTCGTGCTCTGTGAGAGCAGCTGCTGCTCCCTCTGTGCTGTGTCTTGCTCGCCAGCTGTCAGAATCCATGAGATCTATCTGGTGAATCAGTGCCAAGCCTGACAAATCAGCTCTGACTGGTGGCATAGCGGAGAGAATTGAGCGAGCACAGATTGGAGATGGCGTATGATGACGGCTAATGAAAGTGGAATTGATAAGTCTTTCCCTGTACAAATCATCATGCCTCCCTTCCTTGTGTGAAAAGGCTGGGGTTTGTTCTGTTCCTGGCCCTTTGCAGAACGGAGAGGTGGCAGCAAGCAGCATTGCTAACTCACTTGGCCAGTGAAAGGCATCTCTGTTGCTTTATTTTCCACTGTAAATTGCCCTAAATATTGGGAATTTTTAACCCTCACAATAAGCTACCTGCCTTTCTCCTCATCGGGTACCAGAGGAGGGAAGCACAGCACGTGTGGAACATTTCTCCCAACAATCCCTGCCTTTCTCATCGGGTACCAGAGGAGGGAAGCACAGCACGTGTGGAACATTTCTCCCAACAATAGGGACAGATGATTGTACTGGAATGAGGATAACTCATGACTGCTCTTTGTGGCTGCAGCCCACTAAGGCACAGGGATGTGCTGTGACAGCCAGCTCTGCCTGAGGATCATGACATAGGTGTTTTTCTCTTCTTGATGCTTTGATGAGGCTCCATCTTGGTCCTGGGAGCACAGCCATGAGAGTCTCAGTCTCTTTCTGTTTGCAGGACTTCTCCTACGATGACTCGAAGGTGGAGTTTAATGTTGATGCCCCGAATGGAGTGGTGATGGAAGGCTACCTCTTCAAGAGAGCTAGCAATGCTTTCAAAACATGGAATCGGTGAGTAGTAGCTCATATTCCATTTCATATTTGGGCTAAGGCTCTGAACACAGCTAATACTGCCTGCACAGGAATACGCTTCACTTTTAGCAAGATCATAGCAACTGTTACTATCGCTGGAAGGATTTTGAGCTAAGTAGTTAAAGGCTAAATAGTTAAATTGAGGTTGATTTGATAGTTTCTGCATACAGAGATTTTTCTTTTGGGAGCATTTTGCATACCGGTTGAGGGAGGCTACTCTCTACTCAGCACTGGTGAGGCCACATCTGGAGCACTGTGTCCAGTTCTGGTCTTCCCACCACAAGAAAGATATGGACTTACTTGGAGGGGGGTCCAGTGAAGGGCCATGAAGATGATTAAGGGGCTGGAACATCTCTTTTATTAGGAAAGGGTGAGAGAGCTGGAACAGCTCAACCTGGAGAAGAGAAGGTTTGGGGGGAATCTTATCAATGTGTACAAATCCCTGATGGGAGGGAATGAAGAAGAGGGAGCCAGACTTCTCAGCAGTGCCTGGTGCCAGAATGAGAGGCAATGGGCACGTACTAAGAACGTGAAATTTCATCTGAACACAAGAAAACGGCTTTTTTTTTACTGTGAGGATGGTCAGGCAGTGGAGCGGGTTGCCCAGACAGGTTGTGAAGTCTCCAGCTGTGGAGATATTCAAAACCCACCTGGGCACAGTCCTAGGCAACCTGCTGTAGCTGGCCCTGCTTGAGCAGGAGGGTTGGACTGGGTGCCAGAATGAGAGGAAATGGGCACGTACTAAGAACATGAAATTTCATCTGAACACAAGAAAACTGCTTTTTTTACTGTGAGGATGGTCAGGCAGTGGAGCGGGTTGCCCAGACAGGTTGTGAAGTCTCCAGCTGTGGAGATATTCAAAACCCACCTGGGCACAGTCCTGGGCAACCTGCTGTAGGTTGTGGTGCCAAGTCAGTCAGAGCAAAAGAGGAGTAAGCATCTGCTTGCTTGCAATGGTGTTAAGAGGTCCCTTTCAACTGAAGTGATTCTGTGACTCTGCTCAGAACCTGGCAGCTGTAAGTAAGATCAGAACCTGAAGGCATGTTAGCATAACTCTGCATCAGAGCAAGTCCTCACGAGGGACTAATGTAGCCTTATCAAGACACTAACCTGGCTCTGTGGTGCCAAGTCAGCTCAGAGCAAGAGAGGAGTGAGTAAGCATCTGCTTGCTTGCAATGGTGTTTTAAGACCACATAAATTTCCTACCAGCACATCTGTGGTGCCAAGTCAGCTCAGAGCAAGAGAGGAGTGAGTAAGCATCTGCTTGCTTGCAATGGTGTTTTAAGACCACATAAATTTCCTACCAGCACGTTATAACTCGTGCTGAGCTTGCAAAACCAATTGCTTTGCAGTTCTTTGATATTGGTGTGTTGGAGACATGTACGTTAATCAGTAAAAGAGGTAGATGCTGTGTAGTTGACATAAGTGATTATTGTTTTCCTGTTGAAAACCAAATATGCTTCTTTCTGTGAAGCTGTATATTCCTCTGAGGCTGTATCACAGAATGAGACAGCTCCTGTTTTACTGCATCTTAGTAAATGCCAGGGAAAAAAAAAAAGAGGGCCTTCCACAATGGAAGAATGACCAGGTTCCATGCAGGGAAGACAGGGAACAATGGAGCTTGGGTCTTGCCCTGGGACAGCTAGGAAATTCATAACGATTAAGAGAAATAACTAACACAGCAGGAGATGCCATAAGGATCAAACCTGTCTAATGTAGGACAGGGAGATACGTGACGGTGAAAATATCTGCTGTGCTGCCAGGAGCTGGGAAATGGCTTTCTGTGCACTGACCCTGCTCTTAATAATTTATAAGTATTTAATGTGATAGGTCACTGGGAATGCCAGGCTGATACACCTCCTGCACTAGTCAGGAGGCTCCACAGCTGCCAGAGACCTTGGGGAAAGCGGAAGCAAAGGTTTCGTGTTCCAGCCTCGCTCAATATTTGAGTGTTTCGTTTCCCTTGAGACAGTCAATGGGTTTCATACAGGGTTGTGCAAAAGGATTCAAACCCTTCCAGCGAGTTTCTAATGCATGAGATCAATACCTTTTTGACCTACATTTCCTCCTCTCACATAGCAGGGAAATGATACAATATTAAGAGATCTTCTTTTCCTTGGCTGTGGGGTGCATTCGAAGTGTACATCACAGCAAGGCTGAAATGTGCTGCTGGTAGACTTTAAGATAAATAAATGCTAAATGGTTCAGTGAACAGTTTGTGGTATGCACAGAAACTGCCTGGATTTGCATGGAAAAAAGACTTGAAATTATTAGAGATCTCTGAATTGGTTAGATAACTGATTCCTTATCTCTGAAGCTTTCCCTAGTACTAATGAGATTCTAGGCTAATTTAGTATAATTCTGTTACCCCTCAGGCTCTGTGGTCCCGTGAGAGTTGAGTACTAAATTTGCATTTGGAGGAACCAGAAACCACAACACAGTACATCCTGGTGCTTGATTTCTGTGCTGGGGCCCTGGGAAGGTGTCTTAGCTGAATTTTTATCACCCTTTCAGGCTTTTCTGCTCACTGTTTCCACAAAGCATCGCCTCAGTCCATAGTCTGTTGCACGGATGCTGTCACTGACACCCACGTGTCTTGGCAGAGCAGAAGGTTGTTCCAAAATGTGTGATGCTAATGTCAAACCTGTGGTAGAGATGAACAGTTCCAGGTGACTTCCTTCTCCCCTTAAAGGGTTGCTCCAAAGGACACTTATCCTGGAGGAAACCCTCTAGGATTTTCTGGTTTTCCTGGTGTCTGAAGTAATATTACTGTCAAGGCTCCAAGTTTTCCCTCTCCCCCAGATCCCAACTATCCTCCCTGTATCCTCCTCCATCTCAGTCACACACAGTCTGTGTCCTCCCCGCAGCCATCTCTATCTCCTCGATCCCACCCACTCTTGGCCACCTCTGCCTGTGTCTCAGCTATTCCCAGCTCCTGGAGCCTACTCCTCACCTTCTCACTGTCACTCTGCTGCTCGCTCTTAGTGCCTCCCCCTCACACGAGCAGGAGGGAACAGCAAACCCCACAGTGCAGATACCACATCAAGAGCAGAAATGCACACTCTTGGGGGAGAGGAACACGTAGGGAGATGGAGCAGAGACCAGAACTTGAGAGACAAACTCTCTGCTTGGCTTCATCTCACAGCAGAGCTCCTTGAGCTCCTGTCACAGCAGCTTAGAGAGACACAGAACCACATCAGCTCGTCAAATGGGCTCCCACATAGATGGTGTGGCCTCCACTTACCTGTATTTTCCCATTTCTCCACAGACATGTCAAGTCCTTTTGTTGTCTTTTATCTCCATATAATATTTCAGCAACGACAAAAAAAACCCCTCATTTTCCCAGCGAACCTAGTTCTTTGGCAAACAGAGTATGTAATATATGCTCTAAATAACATGACAAAAGAGAGATAATCCCATCTCATCTCATTTTCCCAGGGAACCTAGTTCTTTGGCAGACAGAGTATGTAATATATGCTCTAAATAACATTTTGCTGCAAGCCTCTTTGATTCTTCGTGCTCAGGTAGTCCAGTACCTTCTTCCTGAAGCTTAGTGATGGTCATGGCTTTGTTGTCCTCCATGAAGATGATCAGGTTGCTAAATCTTAGGCTGTATCTTGGAATGAAGAAGTGACTTGGAGGTTTGGATTTAGCACTGAAAATTAAGACACTAGGGAATTACCTCTGTTACCAACATCACATGGACCTTCCATCACTTGTATTTTAATGGAAAGCTGCTAGATGGTGATTTGTGGCCTCCTAAGAAGATAGACTCCCTTCACACACATCTGTCCATACTCTAGCCATAGGCAACAGGAGTTTTAGGACATTATTTGGCCTCTGTAGCTCTGCTGTTCACTTGTTCTGATGTCTTTCTGTCTGTCTTCCTTCAGGAGGTGGTTCTCCATACAGAACAGTCAGCTGGTGTACCAGAAAAAGCTAAAGGTCAGTGAGGCCATCCCGTTTGATACCGGCAGATGAGCCAACTTGTCTCGTTTCTGCTTTGCTGGGGACTTCTGCACTGTGGTGGGGGAGTGGGGTGGAAGGAGTGGGATGGAGAGTCAAAGGGACAACAAGCCCATTCAGGCGTTAACTGTGCTCCAAAGTTAGACCAAACTGAGAACTAAGTGGCAGCAGATGGTGTTTGTGGTGATCTAGATTATTCCCGTTCAGCAGAGGAAGTTGGTGAAGTCCCCAGTGAGCCTGACACTTCATGTGCTTGTTGTCCCACGCTTTGATTCTGCCTTATTGCCCTGGAGTTATCAGTGGTGGGCTGGCTCTGCTCTTTCTGGACTCAGCACGTGCTAACCAGCAGGGTTTGGGAAGGAGTTTTCTGAGAGATCTAATTATGACCCAGGTTCAGGGAGCCAACAAATCCACCTGTTCTCACCCTTTCAGGATGTCCTCACGGTAGTGGTGGAAGACCTGAGGCTCTGTACCGTCAAGCCATGTGAAGACATAGAGAGGAGGTTTTGCTTTGAGGTCGTCTCACCTACCAAGTAAGTTTGGTATCTCCCTGGACCATCCTCATGGACTAGGAGAGATCAGATTTGAGCAGATGCTGCCCTGGGCTATTAAATGTTGATTGGGAGATGCCACTGCCTCTACTCCAGAATCCCAGTGAAGTTCCTCAGACACCAGCATAAGCCAAATCTAGGCCACACGTACCTGATATACATAGTGGTGGTGACACTGACAATGGTCAGCTTCTCAAAACAGGTAGCAGACCTGCCTGGAGATTTTGAAGAGGGAACACCTTTGGCAGTGCAAGCTTCTAGGGTTAATTTTTGCCCCTTTGCCTGTCAAATCAAGGTGCTGCCCCCATTGGAATGGCTGTGCTGAGGATGAAGTAGAACAATTTTGACCGAAACGTCCACCCTGTCCTTCTGCTCTTTCCAACTCATTTCCTTCCTCCCCAGGAGCTGCATGTTGCAGGCTGACTCGGAGAAGCTGCGGCAGGCCTGGATTCAGGCTGTTCAAGCCAGCATTGCCTCTGCATACCGGGAGAGTCCTGACAGCTACTACATTGAGGTGAGCAAGGGGGTCGTGAAAGATCCATAATTGTGTCTCAGAGCCCTGACTGGGGGCTTTTGGGCTGTGGCAGGTCCAGTGTATGTGGGTAGCCCGTTTGGAAATACTCTTCTGCCCTCAAGGAGCTGATGTCAGTGCTAACTCAAAGACAAGATCTGCTCGCCAACCCAAGCTCCGCTTATAAAGCCAGGCTAGGGGAAAGGCAAGGCTTTAAATCAGTGGCATCTTCACTTTCTTGCCATTATTGATGTTCCCCTGGGAAGAGCTTGCTCCCTCCCTAGCTGGGACGAGTGCAAGCAAGACTGCTCAGGGAGGGTGTGGAGACCCCTTCTTTGGAGATTTTCAAGATCTGTCTGGATGCAGTCCTGAGTAACATGGTCTGACAAGCTCTGGGCAATCCTGCTTCAGCAGGGGAGTTGGACTAGATGATCTCTATGGTCCCTTCCAACTCTAAAAAAAAATAATTCAGTGAAAGGCACCATGACAGCAAGGGGTTTGCCAGAGGATGGCAGACCCCAGCGCAGGGACGGGCAGCAACGCCGTCTACTGTCAGTTATAGATACTAATTAGGCTTTACCTGGTCCTTTCCTGGACCAGCCCTAATTTATTCTTCTTCAAATAATGCTCCCTATTAATGCCTCTGCTATGCAAAGCTCTGGTTCGTTCCACAGTGCTTTGCAGAATCCTAGAACCATTTTTTTTTTAATTATTTTTCCTGCAGAGGCTGGACCGAACTGCTTCCCCATCAACCAGCAGCATCGATTCTGCTACCGACTCCCGGGAGCGCAGCGTGAAAGGGGAGAGCATCCTGCAGAGAGTGCAGAGCATCCCTGGGAATGACCAGTGCTGTGACTGTGGTCAGCCAGACCCTCGCTGGGCCAGTATCAATCTGGGCATCCTGCTGTGCATCGAGTGCTCTGGTATCCACAGGTGTGTGTGTGTGTGCGTGTGTGTGTGCTCGGTGCTGCCAGCCAGGGATGGATTGCAAGCTCCTGGAAAAAACAGTGGAGCTTGAATTATGACTGACTATAATTGTACAGAAAGATTCCAAAATAATTGCTGGCTGTTGTACCTGTGTGAGCAGGTACATCTGTGTAGGCATAAAACTCCCTGCTGTAGCTAGATCTGTGCAGATAAATGCAGAAGAACTGGATTGATCTTGTTCATTTTGTAATGTGTGAGAAGTTCTGTTTTGAGGCCTGTAACCATCTCAGTTTTCTTCCTTTTGGATAAATAGGAGCCTGGGTGTTCACTGCTCCAAGGTCCGATCTCTCACACTGGATTCCTGGGAGCCAGAGTTACTGAAAGTGAGTGTTGTCTATCTCTGTCATTAAAAGCCAAATGGTGGGCATGGAGGGAGTGTCACTCGGTGGCAAGCTGGACGAGAGGGAAGGTACCTCCTCACCTGAGGATTTCATTTGCTGCCTGTTGTATTGCAGCTGATGTGCGAGCTGGGGAACAGTACCATGAATCAGATTTATGAGGCGCAGTGTGAAGAGTTGGGACTTAAGAAACCAACAGCAGGGAGCTCCAGGTGAGTCTGAGCACGTGCTGGTCCTCTCAGTCCTGTGGAAAGCTCTTCGTCCGCGCAGCAAACCCAGGACCCAAAGCTCTCTGGGAAGGCAGATAAAGAGTGTGACTGGCCTTCACGGATGGCCCAGGCTACCTCAGGTGCACCTCAATGCCCTCCTTCTGTAGTTAGCCTGAGCTTCACTCTCAGAAAAGGTCAGTGGGTTTCACCAGAAAAAGGTTTTCACTCAGAAAGGTTTCACCAGCCAGCAACCTGGTGAAACACGCTTGGGAACCAGGGCTTGCTGGGTTTCAACTGCTCCGAGACCTTTCAAATGCACGTAACTAATGCACGTGGTGTTGCCTAGGGCTGAACATCTCATTCCACTCTCAGCTACGCCCCACACTCCTTAGTTTTGCTTTGAAATGGGAGATATTTGTAGGTTTGGAAATTCTTCTTTAATATAGGCCTCAAAGTTTCTTAGGACTCAAAGCCATGTTGACACAATGACCCGGAGCAGCCCCATCTTCTTGTGGCTGTTTGCTTTAGGTGATTCAAGTGACCCCGTGCACAGCTTTATGCCGTTCTCTTCTTAGGCAGGACAAGGAAGCCTGGATCAAGGTGAAGTACGTGGAGAAGAAATTCCTGAAGAAGATGCCGAATGGGGAGGCCCTAACAGAGAACGAGCGAAAACCTCGACGCTGGTGTGTGAAGAAGTGCCAGAGAAACAACAGCACCACGAAAGCACCCACGGCGCGTAGGAAGTACCGCCACGAAGCTGGCAATGCCTCACCAGCCATGTTGTCCTCAGGTGGGCACCTCCCTCGCCCCACTCCCCACCACTCTTTGTAGGTGTCTACACGCCTGCTCCAATGACATGAGGCCCTGCCTTTCTCTAGGACCTGCACCCCGCCAGAGGTATAAGCAAAAAATGCTGTTGCACAAACCATGTTGACACAGGTCCTTAGAGCCATTTCCTAACATTTTCCATCTGTTTAAGGAGGTTCTTGTGGCTAAAGGAGGAGATCATTACACTAGGGTGATCAAGCAACTTCTAAACCTGCTTTGTGCATTTTCTTTTGTATTCCAGCTGCCTGCTTTTTTAATATGTTTCAAATCCTTTGATTTTTTTTTTTTTTACCTGCCTGGTCTGTAAGAGAGGCCGTGCTTCCAAGGGCTCTGGCTGTTCAGAGTGCTCTGGGATGGCTTGGTCTGCAGTGTCTCACCACCTAGAGTCAGCTCTTTGTTGTGTTTTGATGGTGTATGTGGGTATGGCACTGGGCATCTGGGGTGTGTTGGACATGCCCAGGTAAATGCAAGTGTAAAACTGTCTCATTTGTGTGTTACTAACTATGTATTTTGAAATGTCTCTGTGTAAAACAGCAGCTACCCTGGAGAGGAAGTTCCGCCGAGATTCCCTCTTCTGCCCCGATGAGCTGGACTCTCTCTTCTCCTACTTTGACACTGGTGCTGGCTCCGGCCCACGCAGTAAGTACAAAGAAAGTGTCCCTGCTCCTGGCAGCCTTTACCTCCCAGCTCTAGGGCATGTGCATTGCACCAGACCCAAGGCAAGCCATCGGCCTCACTGGAGAGAGGGTAAATATTTCAAAAGAGTAATGGAGAGTTAATTGCAGCAGCTCCAACCCATTGCTCTTTTATTACACTTAGTATTTTAATATCCTATCCAGTCAGTCCCTGATGTTTGCATTCTGGTGGATGGGATTTTTTCCCCAACATCTTTTACTCCCAAGACTATGCATTCCATTGGCTTTTTTTTTTTTTCTGGTTTTAGTTTTGGCTTTTTAATTTTTTTTAATTTTTTTTTTTTTTTAAGCAAGGCTTTCTGCGGAAAATTTTTTCTTTTTTTTTTTTTTTTTGTGTGGGGCG